AAAGAGTAAATACCAGCTTTCAGTCAACAAGAAAGCCTGGACAACAAGAACACTTTTTCTCAATTGGTTCCACTGATGCTTTGTCCCATAAAGCAATCAACATTGTTGCTTCATTATCAATGCATGAACCATACCTGTAAATGTAAATTTCTTTCTCAAATTATCTTTTCATTTTTGTTGTCTAATGTAATATGTGTAACATACAGTGTTTTGTATCATATAAGATAATACTGATGTAGGTACTGAAAGGATTAATCTTGTAAACTTTATGGTGCTTAATGTATTATAGTGCAATACTATAAATACATGTTCTCTTCCTTATGATCTTAATATTTTCTTTTTTTCTATCTACTTTATTGTAAGAATATAGGATATAATACACATACAGTGTTAATCAACTGTTTATGTTATTAGTAAGACTTTGGGTCAACAGTAGTCTATAGTGAAGTTTTTTGGGAGTCAGAAGTTATATGCTAATTTTTTACTTTGTAGGAGGTCAGAACCCCTGACTTTGTTTTTCAACGGTCACCTGTATTTAATATGATAATGTACGTTCCTCTACCTCTTTATAGCCTCTGTATTCTTCTGATCCACAACGATAAAGAATATTGTGGCCTTATTATAAAACCTGTTACATGATCAAATACACATTTTAAAATTAAGATGACAAATAACATTATACTAGCTTCAGGTATGTGACATTCAAATATTCTACCCTCTATAATAAAAGGCTAATGTGCAAATTGACTGAAAGGCGGAACGTCCCATCGCTATGACGCACACTAACCACCAGGAGGCAGATGCTCAGTGCAGGAGCTGCCCCCTGGTGGTCAGTGTGCTCCCAACAAGGGGAGCACCACTCAGCCAGAAGCCGGGCTCACAGCTGGCGGGAGCCTCTCCTGGATCCGTGGCAGCGCTAAGGATTTCTGACTGCTGTGGGGAACGGGTCTAAGCTGCCAGACATCCCCCGAGAGGTCCTGGACTGTAAGAGGGTGCAGGCTGGGCCCCATTTCATGCACCGGGCCTCTAGTTTATATATACAGTGAGGCCTTGACTTACGAGTGTCCCGACTTACGAGTTTTTTGAGATACGAGCTGTCTCTCGGCCAATTTTCTGCTTTAAGTTGCAAGCTAAAATTCGGGTTACGAGCCAGCTTAAGATACCCCACCGCTAGTTAGCGCAGCGAACATCACAGTGAACGCCACAACATCAGCCCAGCATCACGTGTCTCACTCGTTCACTTTTTGATTTGACATACGAGTAATTTGAGTTACAAGCTCCGTCACGGAACGAATTAAACTCGTAAGTCAAGGCCCCACTGTATTGTAAAATGATCACAGTAAGTCTAGTTAACGTGTCACTACACAGTTACATTATTTTTCTTGTGATGAGAACTTTTAAGACCCACTCTCAGCAAATTTCAAGTATGCAATACATTATTAACAACTAGAGGCCCGGTGCACGGAATTCGTGCACATTGGGGGGGGGTCCCCTCAGCCTGGCCTACGTCCTCTCGTAGTCCAGGAGCCCTCAGAGGATGTCTGACTGGCAGCTTAAAGCTGTCAGTCGGACAGCCCCTGGCTGCCGGCACCTGCTTCCTTCTGGCATCCGGGACCTGGGCTTCCCTCGCAGTCCCAGCTTCATCTGGAAGGTTGTCCGGAAGGACGTCCAGTCTAATTAGCACATTATGCTTTCATTAGTATAGTCACATGCTATATGTTACATCCCCATAACATGTATTTTATGACTGAAGTTTGTACCTTTTGAGCCCCTACACCTCTCACCCAACCCTTGCCTCTGGCAACTATCGATCTGTTCTCTGTATTTGAGTTCAACTTTTTTTTTTAGATTCCACATTTAAGTGAGATCATACAGGATTTGTCTTTTCTGTCTGACTTATTTCACTTAGCGTAATGCCTTCAATGTCCACTTATATTATCACAAAGATTCCCACCCCCTAGCAGTGTGGCTCAGTTGGTTGGAGCATTGTCCCCATATACGAAAGGTTGCAGGTTCAATTCCCAGTCAGGGCACATACCTCGGTTGTGGGTTCAATCCCTGGTCTGGGCATGTACTGAAGGCAACCAATTGATGTTCTCTCTCACCTCTCTCACATCTCTCTCTCTCTTCCCTAACTCTCTCTCTCTCTCTCCTTCCCTCCTCCTTCCACTCTTTGTGGCTTAGTGGTTGAGCATGGACTTATGAACCAGGAGGTCATGGTCTAATTTGCAGTTGTAGACTCAATCCCCAGTAGGGGACATGCAGGAGGCAGCCAATCAATGATTCTCTCTCATCATTGTTTGTTTTTAATATATTGATTTTTGAGAGGAAAAGAGGGGGGGAGAGAGAAACATCAATGATGAGAATCATTGATTGGCTGCCTCCTGCACGCCCCCCACTAGGGATCAAGCCCGCAACCCAGGCATGTGCCCTTGGCTGGAATCGAACCCAGGACCCCTCAGTCCTCAGGCTGACGCTCTACCCATTGAGCCAAACCAGCCAGGGCATCATTGATGTTTTTGTCCCTCTCCCTTCCTCTCTGAAATCAATAAAAATATATTTGTAAATAAATAATCAATGGGCATATCCTCAGGTAAAGATTTAAAAATAAATTTTTTTTTCACTTCCCAAGAAACATTTTTGTTTTGTTACTGTTAATCCAAACCCTAGGATATTTTTCCATTGATTTTTGGAGTGTAAAAGGAGGGGGAGATACATAAGGAGAAACATTGATGTGAGAGAGACTGGAGCCAGGGATCAAGACTACAACCTAGCCGAAACCAGTTTGGCTCAGTGGATAGAGCATCGGCCTGCGGACTGAAAGTTCCCAGGTTTGATTCTGGTCAAGGGCATGTGCCTTGGTTGCGGGCACATCCACAGTGGAAGATGTGCAGAAGGCAATTGATCGATATTTCTCTCTCGTCAATGTTTCTAATTCTCTATCTCTCTCCCTTCCTCTCTGTAAAAAATCAATAAAATATATTAAAAAAAAAAAAAAAAAGACTACAACCTAGGTAGGTGCCCTTGACCTGGAATCGAACCTGGGACCCTTCAGTCTGCAAGCTGATGCTCTATCCACACAGTTAAACCAGCTCTACAAAACAATTTTTACCCTATTCAGAATGCATGTCTTAGATATTTCAAGCATCTTATTAGAAACGAATGTTTATTATCATGATCACAGACTTGTTCCCAAACTTAATACTGAGTATAAGTTATTTTAAAATTCTCACCCGAGGACATTTTCATTGATTTTTTGAGAGGAAGTGGGGAGGGCGGAGAAAAACATACATATGAGAAACATTGATCGGTTGCCTCCCATAAGCACCTGGACTGGGACTGGGGATTGAAACAGCAACCCAGGTATGTACTCTGACCAGGAATCGAACCCAAAACCTTTTGGTGTACAGGATGACACTCCTACCGACTGAGCCACACTGGCCAGGGCCTAAGTTTAATTTCATCTGAGCCTTAATTCCAAGGTTGCAGAGTCCCCTGCTCCCCATCCCCAACTCTCCAGAGAGAAGCTTTTTCATCTCCAACCAGTGGAGGAGGTTGGAGGGGCATGAGGTAGGGAAGGGTCAAGTTAGTGGTCTTTTGGCCCAAGCAATGGAGTTCTGGACTTGGAACCATCCTGCTTGCATCTGAATGCCACCTCTGCCCCTTACTATGAGACACTGCACAGCTGTTGGAGCTCTCTGTGCTCCAGTTCCCTATCTATAAAGTACAGAATGTAACAGTGACTGTCAGAGAGTATTGCTATGAGGATGTAATGAAATGATACCCACAAAGAATGTAGGACAGGATATGGTACATGCAGGTTCTCAACATAATTATTAAAAAATTGGACTAAGAAAAGCATCACTCATACAGGTTTTTAGAATACCTATTTTAATAAAAATATGAATTCTATATTTCATGTCTGTAAGTGAAGCCTTATGAGGTAGTTGAAAAGCAGTTTCCTTTAATTATTTAAACATTTGCTTTTACCATCTTCCCTATGCTGTGGTCTCTGTTAATAAAGAAATAGTGCTAAACAAGAGAAGGTTAGCATAGCTCCTAACCAACTCATCAAAAATTCCAAATTAGGGGAATCCAAATTGAAATAGATTTCTAATGAATTAAAAATATTCCTTAGTGGAAAGCATCCTCCAAAATAATGTTCAGAATGATAGTGGCAGTTTAATAAAGGGCCGATTATTTAATTTTGTAACATGAGTCCTATGTCCAGCTTTACCAAAATATTGTTACATTTGTGGAAGGTATTCCCTTTTGCAAGGAAAAATTTAAAATTATAAATAAATTTGGTTTAAATTATGTTGGTTTTCACTAGTATTTTTAAAAACCCTTTATAACATGAAATAACAGTATAGTTATTAATCCACACACTTTCCTCTGTAGTTTCCATCAATAAGGGTGTGCCACCAACACCACCAATGCCCAGTACAACAGAAGCACTGACCAGTTCTACAGGGAGAGCATCAACTCTCCTCTAAGCGACACAGAAGGCGGCACTGATGTAAGTTACCAGTGGCTTGGATTGTCCCCTTCAGATGAACATTCGTTTCAGTAGAAAAAGGGATTTTTAAACGGTAAAACTTTCTACCTGAATTCTCTTATAAGAAAACAGTTGATTCTCACTGTTCATGTAATGTTCTATAAAGTCACTGTGAACAATAAATGAGCAAATACTGAAACATTGCTCCTACAGGAAATACAAGGTTAGGTTCCTATGAGCTTCTGGTCACACTTTTGTCAACTGATCAATATATAACCTCATCATACAAGTGTTTATTTAAAGACACCTTATTTAATATACATTAACATTGAATTCATGGCCAACAGCACTATACACTTGTGTCTGAATGAAGCTTATTTCACACTGTATTTTCTCCATAAGGCCTTCATGTGCTGAGGAAACTAGACAGCACTTCAGCACTACATCTGGGGGCCATTATAAATAATGAAATCACCAACAAAAAGCACAAAAATGTCACACTAAATAGACCACAAAAAGGACACTTGTTTTACAGTATGAAAGCTGAAACCTCAGCTGGGGAATGTGCACCTTGGACAATTCAAATTCTTTGCAATTCTGCACATGTCTGCAAATGACTGCAGAAGTGCCTTGAGCACTGATTTGGGGGTTACAAGTAAATTGTAGCAAGTAGGTGAATTCCCAAATATGAAATCCACAAATGAGGATTGACTGTACTTTGGAACCTGCACTTAGATATGAAGTCCTTAATCTTTCCTCTACAGAAATGGGTTCTTGAATTCCTTAAGGTTTGAAAGTAAAAGTTACTGGATTGATACCTTACGAAAATGTGTTCAGAGACCTGTGTAAGCATGTTACAGATTTTATAATGGGAAGTTTTTTTAATTGAGGTATTATTGACATATATTATTATACTAGAGGCCGGTGAACAAA